TCCTTAAATCTGTGATTTCTGAATCTTTTTTTAATCATTTGTGTTTATTCTTCATAAAGACTTTCTTTTAGTATGATGTTTATATCTTTGGACCTTTTTAGTGCTAATTCTATGACACATTACTACACTGGGTACCTCTGAAGGATTATTTGAGTTCCTAGAGATTTAAGAAGCATGACCAAGCAATGTATATCTATCCAAACTTTGGTATCCTTTTGTGCCATTTACTTTTGTTAAATCAACACCGTATTGACATGGCTAGCTAATTGGCAGGGAGTCAGGAAAATGCAAGTTGCCAAGAGCTCTGATATTTTTTAAAGAATTTTTTAAGGTTACACATACACTATCTTTTAAAAGAAAATAAAAGAGAAAAAAAAAAAAGGTAAAGAAAAAGAAAAGCAATAATGACCCCTAAGTAGTTCTAGGCACTTTTAGCAAATTGTTTGCAAGCTGATTTTAATGGGCTAGAGTTAAACTGAGATATATTCTAAGATGTAGATCTACAACTATAAACCTGCTGAGACACTTCATTGAATGGACAAGTGATTGTAGGAGTGTCTCTGAACACAGGTGCAGTTCTCCAGTGTTACCTAAACCGTTTAATCTGAGTGCATCACATTTTTTTTCAGTACTCTGCATTAGCAAATCTGAGAGAAATAGCTGGTGTATATTTTCTATGAGTTTAAGCCGTATGCAGTCCAGCTGTCAGAATAAGGACATATGAGAACTGTAGAGCATGAGACAAGGGGCAGTTCAAAATTTTCAATTTTTTAACAAGCTTTTGCTGCTCTGAATGAACATGCGTATGACACAACAGTCAGTCTTCAGGAACAGAGATGCAAGGGTAGTTGCTCAACAGAATGTGTTTTTACACCATTTACTTATATATGAATTTTGTTTGATTAAAATATTTAATTACCATAAGCAATAATGAATATTTATGAATTTATGAGTATTGCAAGAATGTATATGAACTGGAGAGAAATGCTTTAAAAAAAAATCTGAAAATTGTGAACTACCCCAGCAGTGAAATGCTGTACTTCCAAAGAGAATTGGGCTGCTTCTATTGATTTTGATAGAGAAAGATCCCAGGGATCAGTCAGAAATTGGTCTGGTTTGATAATGTGGGCATCCACACAAAAAAAATAAAAACAAAAGAAAAACCTTGTAAATGTTCCTTTGTAAAACTTGTAAATTTTATTTATACTGTCTTGTTTTGTACACACATTTATGTGTAGTGAGCTCTGACTACGTTGAAAATGCACTATATTTTTCTATTTTACTTGCAGAGCATCACAAACAAACATGTATATTCAGTGCTACATAATGTGTTTTCCCACATTTAGGACCAAAGATAGTTATCAAAAACTTAAACGCATCATTTTCCCCCTCCTTTTTTCTCCCCCTTTTTAGATCACTGTACAGTGTTATATTTGTCATTTTATTTATTTGATTGATTAGAAAAATCAGTTTGGTTATACTAATTTTTTGTCCCCCCCTTGCCTTTGTTAAAAAAATCTGTAAAAAGCTTTTAACAAGCATTATCCCGTTACATAGACACTTCCATTTGTAATCTTTGTAATAGACTGTAAATATATTTTTGGAACTATAATGCAATGTGCATAAGGGTTATTTTTCAGTGTCCATATATGATTGTTTATACAATTCACAGCACTTTACAGTCATGCTGAGAAGCCTAATTTATTGCCTGGATTTGGGCAGAGTAAGAAAAAAAGGTGACTATTCTTATTTCGTATTAGACTGTCATTCAGTAAAAATGGAGTTATTTTCATGTATGCAGCTCAAGATGGTTTTTTAACTATTAAAATTAATTTTCTAGAAATGCTGTAGAAGTAAGACGCAGAATAGACTGCATGCCCAATCTTGAAATTAGTGCATGCAAGCACTCGGCCAAGGCACTTCAAGTAGCCATTGGAACACATCTAATAAACATCCATTTTGTGTTTTAACAAATGATAAGTGCCTCACTACTGGGGTGAGCATCTGTGGGCTACTGCGCAGGGTGCTTGTCAGTTTTGCTGCTGCTCTAGGCACCCAGCTAAGAGTTTAGGAGTCTTAACTTCAGACACCTGCTTCCTTATAAGTCTCGGCTGCTGTTTCTAAGGGCTTGGTGATTAAAGGTGCAGTGCAGCAATGCTGGTATTGCTGAGAACCTACAAACCCTAAATGCAAAAGAACTGAGGACAGGCTTCACCTTTAG